CAGAGCCGAACAAACAGCTGACCAGAGCCGAACAAACAGCTGACCAGAGCCGAACAAACAGCCGAACAGAGCCGAGCAAACAGCCGACCAGAGCTGGGGTAACAGCCATAGCCAAGTTAACAACCGCCCAATGTGAAGCTAAATGTTTAAAAAAAATGTAAAGAATTATAATTTGTCTATGATTTAGAGAAATTGAGCAATAATAAATAAATATATAAAATAATAATAATAATAGTAGTAGTTGTTGTTTTAGTTATTATTATTATTATTATTATTATTATTATTATTATTATTATTATTATGGCTTCTATTTCCTGAGAGGCCAAAAAAAAAAAAAAAAAACCTACTCTGATCCCAACTCCACTTTAAAATCAGAATTCTCCAGATCTCACTTGAATCAACACTACACACAAAGATGTTTGTAAAACACCTTTGTACGTTTAAACCAGATCCAGTGTTTAACAGAAAGAGCAAGTTTCACGAGAGCAACCAAAAGGAAACAGATGAAAACGTGAAAAGCCAGCAGGTAGAGTCAGAAACATCCTCCATGTTTGATGCGTTCAGTCAAAGGTAATTAAGCTCAGAGTACATCTGCATGTGTGTGTGTTCGTGAGAGCGAGACACATTATCTGTGTCAGTGGCCATTTGCTCACAACTGGCGCCACATCCGAGAGCCAGAGGCAGAGAGCATCATGGGTAAGTGAGCAAACGCTGCTGAGGCGAGGAAGATGCAGAAATGTTTCACTAATTCTCTGCAGAAACAAACTTACGACCAAAACAGAGCAGCCGATACAAAAAGAGGAGAAGCAAAAAGTAGAATATGAGCTAATATCGGCTCCTTACCCGTTAGCCTGGAGTTAGCGTACGGAGGGGAAAGGCCGTCATGTGACGCCATGTACTGCGATCCGTCAGCATAACTCTGGGAAAAGACAAAACAAACATTAAATTTCCCGACGGCTGACGTCTCATTGGTGGCAGTTTTTTAAATAACTATTATTTTGATTAAAATATAAATATATATAGCCCGTCCCTTTAATCTGAAATATGGCTTGTTCAATCACAAAATGCAGCTGTACAAAAGAATTAAGTTATTGAGTTACACATTTATTGTCTTACACAACAGAAGATAATCTTTGTTTGGAGAATCAGAGAAAAACCAAAAGATGACTTAAGCTAACAGCTAACAGTAGCTGAGTCAAGCTAACAGTAGCTGAGTCAAGCTAACAGTAGCTGAGTCAAGCTAATAGTAGCTACAAATCAAGCTAACAGTTGCTACAATCAAGCTAACAGTTGCTACAATCAAGCTAACAGTCAAGGGCGTCAGAAGCATCCATAATGGGGGGGTGGGGGGGGACAACATGATGCGTGTAGGTGCGTGCGCTAAAACATGTTCACTAGTGAACAAAAAAGCAACATTTCTCCTAGATCTCCTTTACTTCCACACATTTAAAA